CAAGTTGACCCACTTTGGTTTTTTGAACTCGAATTCAGCTTTAACATTTTTAAACATTTAGTATTTATTTGTGTATTGTTTATTTACCTTACTTTTTAAGTCTGAATTCAGCATTACTTAAAAAAATTACTCTGTGTGTGTGTGTGTGTGTGTGTGTGTGTGTGTGTGTGTGTGTGTGTGTGTGTGTGTTCACCTGCCATGCCAGGTGAGTGCTTGCAAAGTGAGTGTATGGAAGTCAGAAGACAACCTGAAGGACTCACTCACGGGGCCTTGGGGTGGCACTCAGGTCGTCAGGGTTGGCAGCAAGCACCTTTACCCGCTGAGCCATATCTCTGGTCCTTGAATTTGGCTTTTGATACTTGCCTTAAACTAGCAGGATTAGGGCCCGGTGTCAATACAATTTCCGTTTGAAAAGCTAATTCAGCTGTGTTTAGCTATTGAAACAAAACCCCTCAGAACAGGGAGCTGGAGAGTCTGAAGGGAGCTGTCTTCAGCCTCAGAAGGTTTCTAGAAAGTCCGCCCTTGGGGCAACCTCGACCAACAGGCCAGAAAAGCGGTGGGCTAATTTAGGAAGCTTTGCATACATTGAAACATAGGTGTTTACATCTGGTAAAGCATAAGGGGCGAAGCTAAAGATGAGGGAAAGAAAAGCCCGGTGCTTGAGGAAATGGTGAGGGGACAATATGTCACTGACACCACAGGTGCGCTCTCGGGGTTTGCATGTAAGTGCCATGCAAGGACTTGGACTCCCGGTCAGCGTCTTAGCCATGCCTTCAGCACTGAGAGAGAGAACACTTACCTCTAAAGGCTGTTAGTGGCTCCTCTAATTACCAGTTAATTTATTTGACAGTGTTGTAGAAGAGTCCAGCCACTGAGATATATCTTCAGGCCCATTTTTTTTTTTTAAATCTAGGTACTCTTCATAAAAATTACCACTTAAAATGTATAATTGCGGTTTTAAAAATATACACATACAAACACTTGCTTGTGCATCTAATTCTAGAACATTCCATCATTGCCCTATGAAACATCACACCTCCTTGCAGTCTGTCCACTGGTAATACTTTAGTATTTCTGACCTGATGTTGAGTTATGAAAAGTAAAATGATTTTAAAAAACGCAAGTAGAATGGGCTGGGGTTAGTACTAACTTTTGAACAATGTCTACTTTTGTTCCAATTTTGAGCAAAATCTCTTTCCACGATGTTTTATAGTTTCACCCCATTATGAACGATTAAGCAGAACGACACACGGATAAGGTTCAAAGTTTTGTGCCTCTGGCTTGGGGAGGGGCATAGAAAATAGAAGGTGGGATTGCTGTCCTGCAGAGAGAAACTGAGGGCTCCTCGGTGTGCTTTTTGTTGCTGGAAATGCCTCCCATTTCCCCACCACCGTCCTTTCCCCTCTCTCCAATTGAGCTATGGAGAGTCATGAGCACACTTCATTTTAAGAAAACGCCACTTGTGGGACTGGAGAGATGGCTCAAGGTTAAGAGCACTGATTACACTTCCAGAGGACCTGAGTTCAATTCCCAGCAACCACATGGTGGCTCATAACCATCTGTAATGAGATCTGGTGCCCTCTTCTGGTGTGCATGCATGCAGATAACTGTATACTTAATAAGTAAATAAAATCTTTAAAAAAAAAAGATTAGATTAAAAAAAAAAAAAGAAAACGCCACTTGCCACACCCTCCCTTGGATAGTAGAGCCAGGGAAGAACTGTAAACTATATTGTGAACTGCTCCCTCCCTGGGTCTGTGTTTACTGCTGCTCTCCTGTCTGGTTATCCGAATCTGTGTGGGGATAGACATTTGAAGAGATTTGGACAAAAACAAGTCTCTAAAAAGTAAAATTTAAACAGAAAACATTTCATTTACATTTCATTAATTCAATGTGTGTCACATACACAGAGTCTATGGCTACTGTATTTCTGTATTTTTACTTTGTTTTTCATTTGTATTTGTGTATGTGGGGTCCAGCAGTCAGTACCAAGTGCCTTCCTCAATCTCTTTCTAATCTTAGGGTGTGTGTGTGTGTGTGTGTGTGTGTGTGTGTGTGTGTGTGTGTGTGTAGGTGTCTTCTGTGGTCATCTGTGTGGAACTCCCCCTAGAGTGTGAGCCACCCTGTGTGGGTGCTGGGAACCAAACTCTGGTCCTCTGCAAGAGCAGTGTGTGCTCTTCACTGCTAAGCAATTCCAGCCTCCCACCCTTGTGTTTTTGAGACAGAGTCTCTCAATGAACCTGGGGCAGGCTTGTCAGCGAGTGAGTTCCAGCAGTCCTTAGTGCTGGAATTACAGGCATGTGTAGCTGTGCTCAGAGTTTACATCATTAGTGGGTGGGGCACACACCGCATTCATATGTGGAGGTCAAAGGCCACTAACTTTTTTGGAGTCATTTCTCTCCTTCTACCTCTTCCTGGGTTCCAGGACCAAACTCGGGTTGTCAAATTCACAAGGCAAGCTGCTTTACCCCCTGAGCCTTCTTGCCTGCCAGTATGAGAGCTAGGGATGGAACTCAGCTCCTCAGGTTAGAGCAGCGAGCACTTTACCAACTCAAACTTTACTATTTTAATTTTTGAAAAGGAAAAAAAATTCTTCCTATCAACTCAATGCAAATGAACTGTTTAGGTAATGACTGCAGAGAAAGTCATTAACTCAGTCCACGTTTACTGAGTAACTACTACATAACAGGTAATGTCCTTGCTGACAAAGACAGAATGGGTCCTTCTACCAGGGAGCTTAGAAAACACGGGGAGACCTGCAAGCAGACAACTGGATGAGTGCAATAGCCACATCAGCCACTGATGAGATTGGAGAATAGAAGGTGATTGAGAGCCACACCAGGAGGTTGTCATCTGATGTTTGTTTGCTTAGGGACTCAGACCAGGCTGGCCTCCAACTCACAGTGATCCCCCTGCCTCTGCCTTCCAAGTGAGTGCTGGGGTTCAAAGCATGAGCTACCAACCTCAGTATAAGAGACTTTTTACTTAATGTAGGACAATCTGAAAGACAAGTAAAAATTACTAGGTCCTTCCGGAGGACCAGGGTTTGACTCCCAGCACCCACATGGTGGCTCTCAACCCTCTGTATAACTCCAGTCCCAGGAGTTCTAAAGTAAGGACTGCCTTAGCCCTGGGCACCAAGACACCCACACAAGGGACCCCAGGACACTGAGCCTTGTCACGTCTTTTTTTGGAAGGAGGAGTAAACAAAACAAAGCAACACATAAACTCTCATGTACATACACAAACAGGTCTCATTGGAGACCAGGTTACACATACACTCTCATGCACATACACAAATAGGGTCTCATTGTAGACCAGGTTGGCCAACAGAGTTCAGAGATCTGCCTGCCTCTGCCTCCCAGTGCTAGGATTTAAGACATGTGTCACCAACCTGCTAATTTCAATCCATGCCAGACCATCTGGTTGATGGATGTGTGGAGGCTGGAGAGAGCGTACTTGGAGAGGTGTGTGTGTGTGTGTGTGTGTGTGTGTGTGTGTGTGTGTGTGCTTGAGCACTCGAGTGTGGAACCCAGAGAGCAACCTTAGCTGTTGCCTTCAAATGCCACCCACCTAGTTCTCTCCAGACAGGATTTCTCATTGGCCTGAAACTCCTCAAGCAGGCCGGGCTGGCCCGTGAGCCCCATAATCTCCCTGTTTCCACTTCCTCAGCACTGGAGTCATAAGTCAACACCGCCCCAGGCTTTCTTTTAACATGGTTTCTGCAGATCCAACTCAGGCTCTGTAAGCCCCCCAAGGCCAACATTTAACTGACCAGTCTATCTTCCCACCACAGTTAAATTTTTGTCCTTTTGTTATAGTAGACCAGAACAAGTGAGCCCTGGTGTCATACTCTTGTTCCAGATAGAAGAGAGGATGGTCTGAGCTCATGGGTTTGAAACCCACGAGGAGAACCCATCTCAAAATAGCTAGAGCTGAAATAAGTGAAAACCCCAGCAGAGCTGTCACGGCCTGGTCCCAGGGATGGGGCGCACCAGTGTCTGTGGCAGCCAGCGTGGTGAACTAACTCCCTGTGCCTAGGACCTCACGTCTGCATACTCTTCTCATCCCGCACAGGGAAGCTCTTCCTGCTGGAGTCTCAGAACGGCTCTTGGGGCCTGGACCTGGAGGCAGCTCGGCTCTCCTGCAGGAGCAGGGGTGCCCACCTGGTGTCTGCGGGAGAGCTCAAGAGGGTGGTCCGAGACTGTGCCTCCACAGTGTGTACAACAGGCTGGCTGGCTGATGGCACCCTTGGGTAAGTCAGGACAGCCAGGGAAGCGTTCTTTCCCAACCAGCTCAGCTGCCCTGTCTAGGGGTACATGGGGCTCAACAGTCGGCCTGCAGGAAAAGCAGGTAGATAATGAGACATGGACTGTGGCTTCTAGCATGCTCAATATTTATTTACTATTTGGGTGTGTGTGCGTGTGCAAACGCGCGCGCGCACACACACACGCACACACACACACTCTCACATGGGCTTGTGCGCGCCTGCACACCCACATGGAAATCAGAGGACAGCTTTTTGAAGTCAGTTCTCACTTTGTCAAAGCAGGGTCCCTCTTGTTTCTCCCGCTCTACCTAAAGCTGCCCGCCTAGATTCCAGCTAGTTCTCCCATCTGGGTTCCCATAGGAAGGCTGGGATTACAGGTGGGTGCCACCATATGCAACTTTTTACGTGGGTTCCTGGGCGGAACTCAGGTTGCCAGGCTTCTACAGTGCCTTTACCTTCTGAGTGGCCTCCTCCCCAACCCCTCCACCATGTCTGGCTTCTAGAGCCATTTACCTTTTAGAGATAATTAGAGTTTGAATCTAAAACCTCCCCGATGGGCTCTGGTTTTGAGTGCTTGTCCCCAGATGGGTGGCACCATTCATAGGGAGGGACCTGTGGGACATTTTTGATGTGGGATCAGGCTGGTCAAGCAGGTCCCTGGGAGCTGACCTCTGAAGATTGCTTACCCAGAGTGACTTCTGTCACTTTCTGGGTCCTGGTCTTCAGTCATGTGAACAGCCTCTGGCTCCACGGACTGGGCGGTTCCCTCTGCCACATTGCCCCAGCTGTGTGCACTGAAATCTGGAAGCCATGAGCCAGAATCAACTGTTCACCCCTTGAGTGGTCTCTCAGGTGTTTTTCTCACAGCTATTCAAAAGTAACAACTACAAATGAGATGGCTATCCTCTGACTACCCATGCAGGCCAGGGCCTCACACAGGGCCCTTGCGAAAAGGCCTAACCAATGTCCTAGGCAGTAGCCAAAGTCAGCGCCCAGAGATATGAGCGGAAGCATTCCCAGGCACTTCCGGCCCCCAGGTGTTGAGTTTTCGTCAGCCCGGGAGTCATCCCAGCTCAGAGAGCAGACAGTGGTTCAGTCCATTGTGCATACTGTCCATAGTGAGCTGAGTTCCCAACCGAGGGAACACTTTAGAGAAGTCTGGGATGAGCTGGGGAAAATGTCCCAATAGTGTTTGCACCTGTTTCTCTACATCTCAAAAGATGATCATAGAATTGCAGGCCTCTGGGTGTCTGGAAGAATCCATAAAAATTCTCTTTTCAGGAAGATAACGCTACCCCAGATCTTGATTTGTTTCATAAAAATTCACTTTTCAGGAAGATAACGCTACCCCAGATCTTGATTTGTTTCAGCAAACAATTTTTGTCAGCATAGTGTGTCTCACACAATATAAAATAAGCAGCCGCACTAGGAGACTAATAATGGGTAGAATTCAGGAGACACACCAGCTAAAGGAAATTCTGTGTATCAGCCCTGGTAGATACTGGCTTTCAGATGACAAGCTTTGGAGCTGCAGAAATGGCACAGCTATTAAAAGCACTGGCTGCTTCCTATAGGACCTAGGTTTGATCCCAGCATGCCTATGGCAGCTCATAGCCACTTGTAACTTCAGCTCCCGGGGATCCACTGTCCTCTTCTGACCTCCTCAGGCACCAGGCACACACATGGTGCACAGACACACATGCAGGCCAAACACCCATACACATAAAATAAAAATAATTTTAAAAAAAATGGCAATCCTTAAAATTTTCAAAGACACAAAAGACAAGGAGACTTTTAACAACATGAGAAACTATAAAAATAGCCAAATGGAAATACTTTTAGAAATGAAAACTGACAGTAGCTAAAGAATTTAATGGGTAGCTGATTGAAAAAAGCCAGAGAGAGAATTAGTAAGCTGGAAGCTATTTTGGAAGGAGATATGCAGAACAAATAAAAAAGGAAGAATTAAAAAATGTAGAGAAAATGGTAAAGGTGACGAAATTACGTGCAGTTAGAATTCTAAAAGGAAAAAAAAAAAAGAGGGGGCTGGAGGTGGTTTGGTGTGGTGGTTGAGAAGTTTCATGCTGGAGACAACGCTCTCCCAGCACCCACACAGAGGGTCTGTGCATGGAGAGTGCTCCCATGTGGAGCCCAGGCTGGGGTCTCTCTACAGATGCCTGGGCTATACAGAGGGCATAACCACTGTGCTCTCAAGTGTTCCCTTTCCAGACAGATTATGGAGGCTGCCCGCTCCAGCTTGGTGGACTTAGTGGTCCCCTCCGCAACCCCACACACACGCCAAGCACACATCATACCACTGAGCTACACCCCCAGCCCCAGTGTATCTATCCTACACATCAGTCTGGGGCCTGGAGGGTCTGAGCGACTTTCCTAGGATCACTGGATTACCCCTCCTAATGCCTTCTGTCGGCTCACCATTTGGCCCCATTTCCCCTTGGTCTGGCAGATAGCTTTGTTATTCTTCCTCAGTTTCTGTCTCTCCTCAGTTTCCCCCCAGGCTCATGGATGCAGGCGCTGGGATCTCATTCTTTGCCATAGGTTTCTACAGACTTCTGAGACATGTTGAACAAGATGATCCATCAAAAAGAGTGTACCCACACACACACCCATAGGCCACTCCTCCCAGCTCTCCCCCCCCCACCCCCCTGGCAGTCCTCATGCCTTCTGCACTACAGAATCTGGGCTTTAGGGGATCTCCCATCAAAGGCTTTAGAAGGAGATGCCATCTTTGGAAACCTTGTCAGGGAGCAATGGTCCTCGGAGCGGCTTTCTGGATAAAATGAACTACCACCCTAGTGAGGTGCCTCAGTTGCACTTAGAGCTTCCAAAGGAAGGGAAAACCTGAGAGTAGGTGTGGCTTGGAAAGCCTCCCGCAGGGCTCAGAGAAGTGAGGGCCCAGACAAGAGGGCAGCAGAGTCGGGGCTGACTCTTGCTACTCAAAGGGAACCGATTCTGTTGAAGCTGAAGTCCAGGTGCCAGGGGAGCTCTAGGTGTTCATCCAAAGCTTAAGAGCCACCCAACCTGGTCCCAGAACAAAGGCCCCCAGGAGACGCCCCCTCAGAAAAAGTCCCCTCAGATGAAGCCTCCTCAGAGAAAGCTGAACCCTCAGATCCCCCCAAGCCTTCTCAGAACACCCTAGAAATAAAAGCCCCCACAGGAGAAACCCCCCTCTGTCTGAAGAATGTCACATAGAAATCCACCCCTGCCCTCTAGACAGAAAACACTCTAGGACATTCCAGAGCTTATGGCAGTGACTGACCGTGAGTCTGTGGACACTGGTCTCAAGGGGGCATGCTGGTTCCTTGGCTCAGTGTGACATTGTCAGCTTTAATGGAGATGTACTTTATGACAAGCACTGTCTTCACCCTGGTGAGATGTGGACTGTGGACAATATGGAGTGGTTCCCTCAGGAGCACACAGTGAAGGCGGCTTACAGCCAGATTGTGAAGGCATGCCTGGGGGGATGGGAGTGAAACTTGCCATTTACAATGAACTTTTACCTCACATCCTTTGCCTAAGACTCTCCCACCCAACCTCACCCCCAACCAGGAGGCCACTGCTTAGAGAATGCCACCATGCCTCTGAAGTGTCCCACTAAAGAAGCTGTGACATCCAGTCTGGGAAAGTCAGGTATTCTTCTGTGGAAGAGGCCCTGGTCACCATGGTTCCAGGGTACCTTGTGCAAATCAAGCAATAACTTTCAGCAGGCAGGGCATGGTGGGAAATGTTCCCACATGGCCTCACCACTAGGGTGACCATCTGTCTTTTAGGGGAGGTGGTAATGGAGAGTACAGTTGGCCCCAGCTGGTCGTCAACTCTTTATTTCAAGTAATCCTCCTGCCTCAGCTTCCCAAGTAGCTGGCAGTATAGTTGTATGCCATTATGCAAGATGCATGTCATTTTATGACTTTGTTCTCAAATAATCTGCTAATTTTTAAGTGTTTTGGTTGCAATTGCTTACCTAGAGTGATAGCTTTGCTTGACTTAGGTTCTTCTTTGCAAGTTAAAGAATTTTACATAATTAGTGGATTTTTTAGTCTTTTAGGATCTCCTGAAACAGGAGGTTGTGAGCCACCATACCCAGGTGCTGGGAAACAAACCCAGGTCCTCTGCAGGAGCAAGCCTTCAACTACTGAGCCATCTCTCCAGCCCATATAGTAAACCTTTTAAAAACTCAAATGAGGGCTGGGGAGATGGCTCAGCATGTAATGGCGTCTACTGCCAAGCCTGGGGACCCAAGTTCAGTACCTGGGACCTGCATGACAGACAATCCTCTGATTTTCATACACCCATACACCTCAGACACACATGAGCATCATACATATGTATGTACAAAGTAAGCACATAGAATGTAAAATTGACTCAAGTGATTCCTCTGATGGATTTTTTTTCATAGCAAAGAAAAAAGACTACAGAAGGGATCAAAAAGGTGTTGCCTCTGAAAGTTGAGCTGATGCCTGAGAGTTAACCCCAGCATCCCCTGTCTTCCAAAATGTGACCTTTGTCTGCGGAGAATGTTTCTCTGTGGATGCTTCCACCCAAAGGTCACCGATCACCCAAATCTCTGCTGACTCAGAGCTGATAGCAGAAAAGAGTTCTTTTCATCCCGAAGACATTCTCCTAACCTGGGGTCCTCCTGTGTCTGTTTCAGGACAACTGTGTGCAGCAAAGGGAGCGGTGAACAGCAAATCGCAAGAGCTGTTGATGTGAGAATTGACAGCCACCCAGTTCCTGGTGCCAAGTACAACGCCCTTTGTATTAAGGATGAAGGTCAGTCTTTGTAAGGGTCTGGGAGGATGAGTGGCAGCTGCTGTCTAGATGAACACCCTGAGGTGACACTTCTCTGAACATGTTTCGTTGAGTCTTCCCAGGGTGGATAGAGGGGTGGCTCAGATGCTAAGATCACTTACTGCTCTTCAGAAGGACCTTGCATTCCCAGCACCCATGCTGGGCAGCTGACAACAGCCTGTCACTGTAGCTCCAGAGAATCTGAAACCCTTTTCTGGACTTTATGGGCACTTGCAATCACATGTGCGCATACACACACAGATAACTGAAAAAAATAAAACAAGTATTTAAAAGAATAAGAATTGGGGCTGGAGAGATGGCTCAGAGGTTAAGAGCAAACGGCTGCTCTTCCAGAGGTCCTGAGTTCAATTCCCAGCAACCACATGGTGGCTCACAACCATCCGTTATGAGATCTGGTGCCCTCTTCTGGTGTGCAGATATACATGGAAGCAGAATGTTGTATACATAATAAATAAATAAAAATCTTAAAAAAAAAAAGAATAAGAATTTAGAAGGTGTCTAACTAGAGAAGCCAACAAGGCAGTGAGGACCTGGTCAGGAAAACGAAGGTGGCCAAGCAATGGTTCAGTGTTCAGTAGAGTTCACAGAAGTGTGGCAGGAGCCAGTGTCTCAGAGAAACTCTGGAGACGGTGTGCATGTATGGAGGACCTCTGGAGACGGTATGCATGTATGGAGGATCTCTGGAGGCAGTGTGCATGTATGGAGGACCTCTGGAGTTTGTGTGTGTGGTTTGCATGTATGGCTACTATCTCAGTGCTGTGACAAAAGGTGACATAGGGAGTAGGTGTTTCCTTCGATTCATAGTTTGGGGGTAGAGTCCATCATGCTGCAGGAGCTTGTGACTGCTGTGGCAATGTGACCCCATCTGGGAAGCAGACAGGGACAATGCTGCTGCCATCAGACCCTTGTTTTCCCACCACCCGTTCTGGGGACATGCCTTCCTTCCTCAGGTAAACGCCTTCACAGACACACCTGCAGCTGTGTCCTATGTGATTGCAATCCCAGCTAAGTTGATCATGAAAATTAATCCTCACAGTACATAGTGCAGAGTCAGGATTTTCCTGATGGGTAGATATACCGCTCTAGCTGTCAATCATTGGTCAATGGATGTGTCAGAAAATGTTCACTTCTGTATTTTGTTTGCCTGGGTACATGAGCCACCATCCCACAAAGAGGTCCAGGAACCCACAAGGATCCCTGGGTCTGGAAAGATCCAGGTCTCCAGGGAATAAGAACAGACCCCTGGGATGGGCGTTCGTGGCACACGCCTTTAATCCCAGCACTCGGGAGGCAGAGGCAGGCGGATCTCTGAGTTCCAGGATAGCCTGGTCTACAAAGCAAGTTCCAGGACATCCAGGACTGCACAGAGAAGCCCTGTCTTGAACAAACAAACAAGCAGGAACAGAGCCATGGCCTTGTCCACACCAGATCCTGGTGGTCACAGTTTAGGCTTTTGTTTTTCTTCCTAGTGAGGGGCACACCCAAACACAATCCCTTTTCTGAGCTGGAGAATTGGCTCAGAGGTTAACAGCACTTATGGCAGAGGACTCAGCTTTAATTCCCAGTGTCCACATGGAGGCTCATGACTGACTATAATGCCAGTTCCAGAGGGTCAGTAGCCCTTTTATGGTTTTTGAGGCTATCAGGAAAACACTCATACAGGTTCATGAGTGACAAGCCCACCTTCTAGTGTGAGCTTCCTGCCTAGGAAAGGGTCTGTGTTTGCTGGGTTATGTGGAAGACCACCAAAGCCCTCTCTCCATCGGCCCAATCACATAACCAAGGGATGTGGCCTTGGCTTTTTTTTTTTTTTTTTTTTTTTTTTTTTGAGACACGCTCTCTCTGTATTGCTTTGGAGGCTGTCCTGGAACTCGCTCTGTAGACCAGGCTGGGCTTGAACTCACAGAGATCCACCTGCCTCTGCCTCCCAGAGGCGTGTGCCACCAACGCCTGGCTTGCAAACATCTAGAGAGAACAAGATCTCTCTCTCTCTCCTCTCTCTCTCCTCTCTCTCTCTCTCTCTCTCTCTCTCTCTCTCTCTCTCTCTCATTCAAATGATCCTTTGGATCTCAAACCTTGGCAGTGTTTGATCCCTGAGGGAAACACAATAGAGTTAAAAACCTCATCCCTCAAGGGATCTCAAGGGAATGGGTCCTCTTTAGCTTTTGTGACATAATGTGTCACTCCAAAGCAGAGTGACTTAAAATGACAACTTGGTAGCCCTACAATTTTTGTGGCTCTTATGCTAATCCTGGCTAGGCTCCTCTACAAATCTCTAGCCTTCTTGTGGTTTGGAGGTAACCTTGCTCCTGGGGAGCTCAAGAGCTGCCATCCTAGCTGCAACGCAATGGTGAATTTCCAGTTCAAAGGGAAACGTTGTCTGAAGGGAGTCAGTCTGGCAGTGACAGACCAGGACACCTGGCAGCCTCCTGTGGCCTCCACACAAGTCTGCTCAGGCACACACACACAGACACACACACACACACACACACACACACACACACACACACCACATACACCATGCACACAGACACTCCCTCCACACAGACATACATACCCCACACACAGATACTCCTTCACAGCACCACACATACACAGACACCTCCCACAGACATACGTCACACACACACAGACATCATACACACAAACACACACACACACACACACACACACACACACACACATCATACACAAAGAGACACTCCCCCCACAGTACTACACATACAGAGACACACAGATACCCCCCATAGCACTGCACACAGAGAGAGACACAGACAACCTCCACACACACACACACACACACACACACACACCACTCTAAGATAAATTAAAATGCAGAGAATCAGAAAACAGAGAAAGGCTAAGCAGCTGTCCTAGATTAAAATGGGATAGAAGACTTGACAATGGAATGTATTCCTGGTTTGTTTCCTGGAACTAGCAAAAATGTCTGTATTTGATAGCATTTGAATATGGATTGTGAATTGAACAGCTTGATACCGATGTCTGAACATTGTGATATTTACTGCTGCAGTGGTAAAAGAACATCCTCGATTTTAGAAAATGCACAGCAAAGTCACTTAGAGGTGAAGGGCATAGTGTCTACAACCTACTCTCAAATGGATCAGAGAAGCGTGTGTGTGTTCAAGTGTGTGTGCATGTGTGTGCATGTGTGCGTGCATGTGTGTGTGTGTGCGTGTGTGTCCTTCCATGCACTGTGAGATTTTCCTAGTGAGATGTAAACAGACATATTACCTCAGATAGGGACACCAATGATAGGACAAGAAATGACTCCATTCAAGTCAAGCTTGGCGGTGAGTTGACTGGAGTTACAGGCTGACTCCCGAGCAACCCCTCACAGAAAGCTTACGCCATCAGGAGTATCCATGAGGAAAGCCGCACCCCTACTGTTCCCATCATAACCGGTCCCTGTGTCATGCTGTCCTGCCTTAGATGGGGCGCGCAAGCCATTCCTCACAGCCCTCAGGCTTCGTGGTAGAGAGGCTGCCTTCCCATGTGGGGACCTGATAGATTACAGAGTGACAAGGGGAACAGGTTACTGAGGAAAGGACCTCCCTGGCTAAAGCAAACAGGCTGGCCAGAGGGTTCCCACATACCCTCAAGCACTGCTCAGCTGAGCCTGCAGAGTTAAGAGGACCCGAGGGCGGGAGGGTAGGCCCAGCTCAGAGGGACTAAGGTTCCTGCCAGTGCTTAGGTGAGGCTCAACTCAGTGCCTCAGCAACACACGCTCTTTGCAGCCTTTCTCTGAGTGGCACGCCATGGCTGTGTCACCATGATGCTGCTCCCGTCTGGTAAGACCAGGAGAAAGAAACATGCAGACCTCAGAACTGGCAGACAAGCATCTGCTAAGGAGCCTGGAGGGAATACGGGGCCTGGCTCCCATGAGCACAGCCCCTCCTGCAGTTCTGCAAAGCAAAGTTCAGCACCAGCATAGATGGGTGTTTTTGTTTCAGACACTGAATTTCCAGTCCCGTGGTGATCTCACTTAAACTAATAAGTGAGTTATTTTTAACTGACGGGATGCTGTTGCCTCTTCTACTTGCATTTTCCCCACTCTGCTTTGGCAGCATGGGGTCAGTAGCCCGGGTGCTGGAGGCTTCTAGCTTCCCTTGAACTGTGTCACACACAAGCCCACACATTGCTGCTGTTTTGTCCCTCCCCCAAGACAAAGCTGACTTCTCCCTTCCTTACAGCCATTGTCACCTTTACTTCTCCTAAAGACAGGAATGGACAGTTCCCTATGCCTTCAAGAAGAGCTGGGTGCTCACTGTCCCCAATTCTCATGTCTGCCTAGAAGAGTGCCCTGGCCTCAGGAATGGTGTTGGGAGAATTTCCCAAATGAGCCATCTCTCTACCCACCTCCACCTATCTTTTCACCTCTATCTATGTGGGTGTTTCAGAGGGCAGAGTCCATGGTCAGGGCAGGTCCTCCTCTAAGATTTTGAGTCTAGTTACTCCATGTCACAGAAGCCGGTGACACACAAGTGTCACTTCCCAACTCTTAACCCCTCACCAAGGCAAGGGCTCTATGCACTGTGCCCCATCTCTTGTGGATTTTTTGGCCTTCTGGCCTTTGGGGATGGTGCCCAATGCTGCAACCCTTTAACACAGTCTTTCATGTTATGGTGATCCCCAACCACAAAACTATTTTCATTGCTACTTCATAACTGTAATTTTGCTACTGTTATGGAACTAATGTAAATATCTGTTTCTGGTGGCCTTAGGCGAGCCCTGTAAAAGGGTTGTTCGTCTGGGTCTGGTGATACAAACCTTTAATCCCAGCGCTTGGGAGGCCAAGGCAGGTGGATCTCTGAGTTTGAGGCCAGCTTGGTCTACAGAGCATGTTCCAAGACAGCCAGGGCTATGCAGAGAAACCTTGTCTCAAAAAAACAAAAACAAAAAAGTTCATTTGACTCCCCAGAGGGGTTGCAACCCATTGAAAA